TTGGGGGGGGGGGGGGAGGACATGGCTTGACCAAAGGGTATATTATCTATTTTTGTTTGCATGGAAGAAGTTTTGCTTCTTTGTGATTATAAAATAAAAAAACTGCACTTCTTGATGTGCTTTTATCTTTCTTTCTTGAAATGGGAATTATTTGTGCTATAGTGGTATCTCCTCAGTTTACATTAAGTAGTTTGATGATACATGGAGATCTTTAGTTAACTCGAGCTGAATATTTTATTAGTCGCAATAGGATTCAAGATGATAAAGTAGTTGTTGAAAGCTACTCCTAGTTTGAATATAATGGCCTAAATTTTTCTTTTAGATTCATTTGAATTTTTTATGCCATTTTTTTTTTTAGTTGGAATTGGTATTCCTCAACTCAAGATTACAAAGGCAGAATCTAAATATCAAAGCTTTTAACTTTACATGTTGATAACCATCCCTATCATTTTTATTCTGTACTTTTTAATAAGGTACTCCTTTTCATTTAATTTTTAGTTTGGTTTTGACTAATCTATCTGTAGCTGACCAGAAAAGAGAGACCACATACGTGGGTAATAATTGCTTCATTAGGTTTGAAGTTTATTTTAAGAATCTTCATATGTGGCGTCTCCAGAACTGGTTGATTTTCCATGAGGCCAAATTAAACCGTGAATAATTGATTACATATGACTTTTTTTTGACAACATATGACCTTTTTTTTGACAACATATGACTTTTTTTGACAGGTTTTCATATCCTTTCCTGGAAAAGAAATTAGGGAAATATAGTTGATTAACAGGAGAACTTAAATAGTTGTTCTATGTTTCCTCAAGTTGGTTCATACTGTCAAAACAGTAAGAAAAACTAGTGGAAACGAAGATACTTAAAAAGCTTGTTGAAAAGAATGTTCTGTAAACAAAGAACCAGAAGATATTAGAACATAACCACAGAAAAAAAAGCAACTGAAATGAAGAAAAAGAAAATGATTAAGGATATTTGTTCCACCACTGGTGGGAAAGGGGGAGTAGAACTACTCACTATAGGGTGGGTGCGAGGGGAAAAAGAGAGATTTCTTGAGCTTGGGCGGGGGAGCCAGTAGGCTGGGTTAGATGTGGGGTTGGAGTTGACAGGGATCGCCATCAGGCCACAGTGAAATAATGATCTTGATCTTGCTGGTGAAGAATATGTTCGAAATATTAGTGGAGTAGGGATGCGGATAAGCCGAGGAAGGAGAAGGAGCAGGAGAAACTGGATTGGATTGAGGATGGGGGAATACTAAGGAAAATGTTTGCCTTTATCATTTAGATTTGGAGGTAAAGTAGTCTTCTAGGACCAAATCCGATGGAATACTAATCCTCAAATTAGTATCTCACCCACCGGATGATATGATGCCAAATTACACTGATAAGTTTCCTCAATTCACTCTGGTCGTCTAGTTCTCTACAAATAACATTCAGGCATATATACATCTTCCTTTCCTGTCCTCTGTGCTGTCAATTTGAATACTAATTGTCATTCTGTGGTCTAACCGATTAACCTGACAGCCAAATACAGCCAAATTATCCCCTCTTCCTAAATCATCCTAGTTCCCATTTAAAATTCATTCAAAAACTTTTTAACTTCTCATTTCCTAGCATTAACAACATACGGTTTGACGTTCTGTTTCCTTATATTTGTATTTTTGACAGATGAAAGTTTTTACTTCAATTTCCTTTTTAGTTGGCCTTGATGTGCTTATAGCTTTTTTATGAGATAATAATTTTCTTTACCTGGATAATTTAAGGAAGCTTTTAGTTTAACCTATTGAGTTCCATTACTGTAGGGTCATTGACTTTGTTAATGAGACAGTGCGGACCCTTGCGGGAAATGGAACAAAAGGTTCTGATTATGAAGGGGGAGGAACTGGAACTGCACAGGCAAGATTGGATCAAATTAAATAATTACTTGGTCACCAACTGGTTCCAGTTAGCTCTAGCTTATTGCATATGTAGTTTCGTGCTCTAATTTTATTTCTCTCTTTAATCAATTTCAAATATAGTCTTGTGAATCATCCTTTTTTCTTTGGAACTGAACATCATTGGTCATATTTTCAGCTTCTCAACTCTCCATGGGATGTCTGCTTTGAACCTGAGAATGAAATTGTCTACATCGCAATGGCTGGTCAGCATCAGATCTGGGAACACAAGACATCGGATGGAGTTACAAGAGCTTTCAGTGGGAATGGTTATGAGAGGAATTTGAATGGCTCAAGGTAATATGTGTGTGTGTCTGCCTGTGTGTTAGCTTAACTAGAGTTTCAGCAGAATGCTGGTTAATTGTGCTAGTTGTTTATATGAGATTAATTCTTAAATGCTATGATGCTCACTAATCATCATCTGTTTGTCACACTTTCTTTTAAGGTGCTTTGTACTTCAAAACTAGTTTCCAAGCCGTTTTGAAGAAAAGGGTTTCCTCTTTTTGCTTAGAAAAAGGATCCATGTGTTAATCTAGAGCGAGAGAGAACCAACTGAGGACCAGATCTTTCACTGATAAACAAAGACAGAAACAAACTCAGTTCACACTTTTTGATTCACTGCTTTACACTTGCTCTGTGAATCTATCAGTGTAGTCATATTTTAGGACTGCATGGATATGCCTCTTCTTTTGAACTGCCCGTGTAGGCTTTCTAAAAGATCTCTCATTTTTAGGGATAACAGTAAGAGTTTTTATGGACTGGGCTCTTTTGGCAAGGTATTTCACAAAGATTGGAGAAGTTGTCAAAGACTCATCAACGCACAGGCGGATATTAGTTTGAGTGGCATTTTAAGATCAATTTTCTTCTGAAAGTTCCATTATGAATTTGGAACCCATGTTCTGTGGACTTCTAACACTATCATCTAACTTAATTCATTGGAACATGAAGAGTACAAAAGCTAACCCATACTCAAAGGAATATATATCCCTTTTGGTCTTGAATCTTGATAATGTGCTCTGGATCTCTTCCTAGTAAAAATTTGGTTCAACATTAGCACTAGCAAATTTTCTCTGTTTGGCTACTTACAATATGGTTACTATTACTTCCTAGTAACACTTAATGAAAATAATGGATCTCCATGAATCAGCAGGAGCTTCAGCCAAAAGAAAACAGGGATTAAACTAATGTAATGTGGAAAGGAGAAACCTGCTTTGTGCTTTTAGTTTTTGGGTTTTAGCTTCTATCTTTGTATGACTTGTCCTTGTATGTGTTAGTTGTGAGAACATTTCCTTTTAGCCACTTACTTTAGACAAACTTGCTGATGTTTACGTATCATCTTCTTCTTGGCCATGGGAAAGCTCTACAAGCACGTCATTTGCTCAACCTTCTGGGATTTCCTTGTCACGAGGTAATCTCTTAACAAGACATAAATTGTTCTTTTGAACTGGTCTATAGTTTTTACCTTTTCTTTTGATATAATTCGTTTACTTTTTCTTTTTGATTGTTAGAGCTCAGTATATTATTTCTGTATCCTGATCAAAAAATTAATTTAGCAATAAGAGAATGCTGTAAAATAAGTACAAAAGGAGGCTACATTACAAATTGTGTAAAGAGCTCAGGAAGTGAATCATGGCATCTATGTCAGTTGCAATAGCCAGGTTGCACCAAAAAAATAAAAAGAAGAGAAGATATACGTATTTGATACTAATTACAGATTCAGATTCTCTCTCAAAAACTCTGGCATTCTTTTCTTTCCAAATAGTCCACCATATCACTGCAGGGATGGTATTTGAAGTTTTCCTCTTCACCTTGCCAAAACCTTTCAAGTTGCCAGCATTTAATTACTCATTTACTTGTTTTTTGTAGATCTTAAGGAGGCATATGTTGCTGATAGTGAGAGTAGCTCCATTCGGGCAGTTAATCTAAGAACAGGAGGTTCAAGATCACTGGCTGGTGGTGATCCAGTTATTGCAGAAAACTTGTTTAGGGTAATTTTGTGTGAAGCCAAAGAAACCAGATTTGCATTCTCTAGTATATTTTAGTCACATTTGTGACAGAAATAAACTTGTTAAAGGAGCATTTTTTGTGCAGTTCGGTGACCATGATGGAATAGGCTCTGAAGTACTTCTTCAACATCCGTTAGGTGTTTTATGTGGAAAGGATGGTCAAGTTTATATTGCAGATTCTTATAATCACAAGGTACTTACAGGCTAATTTTTTAACAGTAAACATTTGCTCCATATGTGACACAATTTTATGACATCTTATGATCTTTAACACACTTCTCCTAAGACATATTATAATTAATTTAGTTTGAACTATGATGTGATGTTCATTTGTCAAACTAACTTCTCAATCACTATAATATATGCTTCCACTATTATCAACATATTATTCTAGTGGAAAAGACCAAACAGCTATGCTCTGAGAAGACAGACCTCCAATGGAAGAAATACTAAATGCAGCTAACCTGATGCTATCGCTTTATTGCCCAACTCCTATCTTAAGTACTTTTTTTTTTTGTATGGAAGCCATGAATGTAAAAATGTGTTGATTTGTAAAACATATTAGTCATCTGCCGTCTCCCAATAGCTTTGTTTTATCATTCACTCTCTCTACCTCCATAAGAACCTTTTATTTTGGTACAAAACATTTGGTTTTCTTTTTCAAACATGATCTGGATAGTCATAAATTATTTCTAGTTATTTGGACTTGATCGAAGATTATCATTATAACTTGCACCTTTTTGTTTGAAAATCTTTTTGTGATTTGGTGGGTTTATGAAAAGTGAAGGAGGAGAAGAGAGAAGGGCCTTTGGGAAGATTGAAACCGTGTGGTGAAGGTTGATAGGAGGGTTAATAGCATGTGATCTTACACTTAATATCAAGGCGACACTATGTCAATAATGGTACAACTTATGGTGGAGTTTGTGGCTTCCTCTTGATTAATGTTATGATTGAGATATCAAAGCTAATAAAGTTTAGTCTGCTTAACCAGAAATTGGCACTGTGAACAATTTTGACAAATCATCTAATTTATTTAGACAAAAAAAAATTATGCTGAAATTGTGGTGCCTTATGCCAGATAAGAAACAGTTGCTCGTATGTAGAATAATAGTGAAGTATTAGGTTTTAAAAGTTTGTGGCCTTTCCTGCTTCTCCTTTCAATCAACTAGTGACCTTGAAAAGCGATGTTTCATATGATGCTTGTTACGATTTCAAGCTCAAAGAAACCATTTTATGCAACTTATATTTCAATAATGAACTACTTGTTTTGGTACCGTAACAGAAACATCTCAGTTAAGTAAAAGCTTTCCTCTTTTGTTTAACTTGCCAGATTAAGAAACTAGATCCAGATAGTAAAAGGGTGACTACATTAGCTGGTGTTGGTGAGGCTGGTTTCAAAGATGGAGCAGCGGTGGCAGCTCAGGTTGGAAAGAGTTCATATATCTTTTCTTGTATCATATTCTGGACATTAGTGTTACATTCTGACATTCATTGCAACCAATCATATTTTATGTCCACATGGATGTTACACTTAATAGCATTAGCATGGAAATGAGTACCTAGACCATATTATTTCTCCAACTTGATGGACATAATAAACTGCTGACACATGAATAATTTAAATCCAGCATAGCATTTTTCTAAAATATGTGGCTGCATCTGTAAACAATCTATTTAGTTACAAGTCCCTTATACACGAGAAGGCATACCCCTCCCACCAAACCTTTTCTACGCAAAATTTCATCATCAATCAGCAGTAGCTTGTGAGGTCATTATTTCTCCAAGTAAAATGTTCTTATTGCATATAATCTAGGACTTATCTCCCAAGTATCTACAATTACTGCTATTTTTCTTAAAAAATCGGACTACAATTAGTCAGAGGTTGTGTTGAACAAAGAGGGAAAAGGCACCCCAATTTGGGAGATAAGTCCTAGATTATATGCAATAAGATACTGACTAAAAGAACATTGCTATTTCTACAAAGAGCACCCAATCTGCACAAAACTATTTCCTTTTGTGTACTTCTTTTATATGGAAAGATCCTTTCAACCATACATGAACAAAATTTTACCTTATTAAAGGAGAAAAAAAAAAGGAGTCTTACGTTTTGTCCCTTTAAACCTTCAATTAACATGCGCGAAGTATAATTTTCTTCTTGATTCTTAAATTTCCCATTCTTAAGATAAATTGCTTTTACTGCTAGGATCTCTGACTTTCAATTTTGGTGTTTCTCTTCTTTCTTTTTGTTTTTATTTACGTGCAGTTCTCAGAACCATCTGGAATTGTTGAAGCAGAAAATGGTAATCTCTTCTTCTTTGTACACAATTTCACTTGGCTGATTGCTCACTCTGAGAGTGGACTATAAAACTTTGCAGGAATAAGAGACATAAATAATCACAATGAAATTGGTGGTCTAAACTCTGCAATCCTCACAAATTATTGCAGGAGCTCTATCACGCTTAATTTATATATACTCATCTTAAGCTGCACTAGCAAGAATAGTAGGAGTGCTGGTTATGCATCACAGTAGTTTGTAATTGACCAAGTAGATGTTCCTGCTAAAGAATTAAGTTTAAGGTCTATTTTCATGTGGGATGAGTAATTCTGTTAAAAGAAATCAAATTATGACAACACTCAGTCCTGCATAAACACGTGTGAAGTGTTCATGGCTCATTCCTGCATAAACACTTCTCAACTGATCTGCTCCTATATCTTAAGTTACCTCATTTTGCTTTTCTATCACAATTGTCCTGAGAGAGAGAGAGAGATACTTGGGATTTTGGTGCATTAGAAGCTGCACCTAAGGTGTATCATGTCTCTTGATGGAGCATGGCACCAGTTATGTCCTAAAAAAATATTGGTGGCTATCAAGGCCATTGTTATGTATACTTCTTGCACGAGTGAGCAATTTGGTGATGATTGTGAAGGCAAAGCCAAAAAGAAGAAATTTGGGAGAAGACGGGATGATATACACTTCTGGTCACTAGGGTATCAATTGCTTAAGATTCATTAATACTTTTTGCAATGTCTTCAATTGTTTAAGGGACTTTAGTCTCATTGACAAGTTAAACCAAGAAAATGTACCCTGCAATGGCAATGTTATTCCAGAATATGAGATCCAAGTCTTAAGTTTTGAGTTAGATCGTACCTTTGTTTGTATCTCTGTGTTTTGAAAATGTAACAGCTGATACTTGTATTTGATGCTATTTTATATAACCTTTTTAGGAAGATTATACATAGCAGATACAAATAACAGTGTGATAAGATACTTAGACCTGAACAAGTCAGAAGCTGAAGTTCTTACTCTGGAGTTGAAAGGAGTGCAGCCTCCACTTAAATCCAGATCTTTGAAGCGCCTTAGACGGCGATCTGGAGCTGACACACAGACTGTTGTAGTTAATGGTGGTTCATCCAGTGAGGGTACATTGAACTTAAGAATCTCGGTACCTGAAGGATACCATTTCTCCAAGGTTTTCTTTCTCTCTTCTGAACAGATTAAGAAAATAGGAACAGTATTTTCCTACCCTTAGAATTTACCACCACAATATGTCCCTGTTTATTTTGCCTCATAGGCGTTTCTACCTTGTACCAAATGCAGGAAGCCAAGAGTAAATATAGCATAGATTTTGATCCAGATAATGCTGCTGAGGTTGATTCCTTGGAGGGTAATCTCAGCCCAGAAGGTTCTGCAGTAGTGCACTTCAGAAGATCTTCTGCTTCACCATCCACCGGCAGAGTTTATTGCAAGGTATGACTATCTGTTGAATATATCTTTTAAGTTTTACTTTAGTTTAGTGAAGTTTATGGCTTGCATTTACCTCCTTAGCCATGCGCATCTATATTCAGCCATTTAATGAAGAAGACTATGCCAGGCAATATTTTGAGCAAAATAAAGCATCAGTGCTTTGGGGAATTGATATTGACTTGATATATATATGCTTTCAAGTAGCCATTTGTTAGTAGCATCCCATGTAGTGTTCTACCTCGCTACATGAATTGACAATATGCTCTCGATGATAAGCATAATGTCATGGCTTATGTGCTATGTGATATCTTCAGTCTAGCAAAGCAATATGTGCTATGCCAGGATTGATAATATAGATTTTGTCCCCTATGAACGTACTTACAAAAATTAACTTGAGAGGCACACAAACTTATCGAAGGCCTTGTAACTGGGCCCGAATTCACCACATTAGACTAGCAATGTGTTAGTAGCATCTCATGTAGTATTTGTGTACCTTTAGCCCAATGAGAATGCTATCACTTTCCTAGTTTATAATGGTCCATCTTAGAGTTGCATTTTCAATGAGTACTATTGCCACTTCCAATTTCAGGTATACTATTGCAAAGAAGATGAGGTTTGCTTGTACCAGTCATTGACCTTTGAAGTACCATTTCAAGAGGTAAATCCAGATTCTGCCCCTGCCATGATCTCACTTCCTTTTGATGTGAAGCCAAAAACATCACCAACTAGCTTACAGATTCCGGCTAGGACGTGATTGATTCATCGTGAGAATACATATTACTTAATCATGATTACGTGATAAATGAAGAGCAACTTTCACATATAGCAAACATAAAAATCATATTTGTATGTTATAGTTATAGTTTGCATAATTGCGCTTCATAGTAAATTTTATGTTTGCTATGGAGCTTTTGATTTGTATAATTCGCTACAAACATTCAATTTTATACAAATTGTTCAGTTTTGTATAAATTCATTTATACATTGTAATTTGTATAATTATAAGTGTATAGGACGAAAATATAAATGAATGTATATTAGAATGACACATCACCTTTGTGGTTCACATTCAATTCAAGATATTAAAAAGAAATTGATACTGTTTAGTAGATGTCATAATCATGAATCATTAATTGCATGATAAGCAAAGGATAAAGGAAAGAGAGTCACTCGTGTGCGTGCACTTGTCTTTTAATGGTCGGATGATGATTGCTGCCACTGCTTTTATTTGTTTTAAAGACCTTTGGTTAGTCTTTAATTTATCATATAATATTACGAGTCCTCTTAAACTCTATATTATACTAAGTGTTTGTTAATCGACAGCTAATAACGTGTTTTATTGCGCTAACTAATTTTGATGTATATATTTCAGGATATTTATATATAAATTGTTTGAAACAAACTTTGTTTTCAAACAAAAATTATTCGTCAAATGAAAGAAACACTAATTAATTAGAAGCATAGTTATAGACTTCAAATGCACGAAAAGGTCAAGGTTATGGATAAGTAAGAATCTTAGCATAATTTATTTATAATTAGAAGAAGAACTAAGTGATAGCATGTGGGAGTTGTTTAGCCAAATTCATCAAATGCAAGAAAAGTATAGATACCATCTCATCTAAAAAATTTATGTGTGATTTTTACATACTCAGAACAGTTGAATCATATTATTATTCACTTAAAAGGTGCTTTTCGTACGGAAGGAAAAAGTTTTTTACGAAATATATTTTTTATAATTCATCTATTAAGTCCTCACAAGTTGGACAAAAACAAAAATACAAACCATGCTAGAAAACAATAAAGTTATTGCCTAAAACAATTGAGAGCAAGTCTATCTGATGATGGGAAAAAGAATCATTTCTTATGTAAAATAAAATAAAAATTATCCATTATTAGCTCTCACATTCTTACATTAAAGACATGCACTGCATGTAATTGGTGGATTTCCTGTAAAGAGATATAATGAAAGTAATATTAAAAGAGATTAATTTTCTATTCTGTTTTCATTTATAGGCCAAGCAATTAATTAGAATGCAAATGGTAAAACTGCTTATGGATTTTATTGTTGTATCATAATATATGTCTCGCGCTTTAAAAAACTTATATCTAGCTAGACATAAATTTGATTGTTAAGGATGAAAATTAAAGATCGATCTATTTAAAAGGAGAATGATGCAATTAAATAAATTCATTATTGATAATCTAAAAGTATGTGATTGATAGCTGTTTATCACAATTGGAAATTTATAATTACCAAGTTTAATGACATTGAAGCATGTCTGACTAAAAGAGGCAAAACACTCTGGCATGTCACTGCCTAATAAATTGGCTTTGTCCGGTTTTTGTATTTTACATTATCCCTTCTTTTTTTAAAAATAAATAAATAAATAAAATCTCTTTTGGCATATATCTACACAAATATAAATAAATATTTAAAAGGATGTTTGCTATTAGTTGTAACATACACGCTCTTCTATGAATTTCAAGAAAACAGAAATTTAATTAATTTCCTAAAACTATCTTATAGAGATCATTATATGTTATATTGTACAGTATATTTAAGTTAAAGACCCTGGATTTCTTTAATGTACCCTCTGTGTCCATATCAACCCTATAGAAAAGTTAATGAATAGTTAATTGTCTCTATATTATACTTAGCGGCAATAATAAATATTATTATGAATATTTATAATTAACACTGCTTAAAACTTGAGCGATTTGGACCTATTTCTTCTGTAGCTAAAGAACAAAAATCAGTCGTTACATTACTTAGAGATGAATTATCAAGGGAAAGGACATGAAAAAAGTTTATCAAGAGATAAAAATAATTGTAAAAATATGTAAAGGCAATCGTTATGCTTACGTGGTTGGAGTGTCATGATCTTATATATTTTGTATCAAATAAAATTGTTATGGAAGAATGCTAAATAAGAGGTTACTTTATCAACTTTTATTTAATTTATAGCATGCATAAATGGTTAAAAACTGACTACTGTTTGGTATAAA